TTGGAATCAATTATCAGTTTTAGAGCATTTAAAAATCTATGGGTCATTGAAAGGTATAACAAAGAATGTGGAAAAAGAAGCTGAAAAAATGGCCATAGAAATTGGTTTAGGAGAAAAGATTCATACCCCAGCAGGTTCATTATCCGGTGGCCAAAAAAGAAAATTATGTTTAGGAATAGCATTCATTGGTCGTAGCTCAGTAGTTTTTCTTGATGAATGTACTTCAGGTAAGATAATTTTAATATTTTTAACTAATAATATAAATTATATATTAAAATTTAAAAACTGTTTTTATTTTATCTTAAAGGTATGGATCCATTAAGTCGTCGTAGTGTTTGGGACTTTTTACTTAAATATAAAAAAGGAAGAACTATTATTTTAACAACTCACTTTATGGATGAAGCTGATTTTTTGGGTGATAGAATTTCAATTATTTCTTATGGTAAATTAAGATGCGATGGTTCGAGTCTATATTTGAAAAATAAATTTGGTTGTGGTTATTTATTAACATGTAGTAAAGATATTAATAATCTAGATTATTTTAGCACTTCCAATGTAACAGAGTTTGTTCATCGTTACATTCCAGAAGCAAATATTTTATCTGACGCCGGTACAGAGTTAAGCTACCGTCTTCCAACCTCATCCCTACCAATATTTTCACAATTTTTCGAAGATTTTGATGAACAACTATCTTATTTTGGAATTACAACTTATGGTATTTCAGTCACAACCATGGAAGAAGTTTTCTTAAAAATTGGACAAGAAGCAAACTCTGGTAATGTTGGTGATATCTATCAGAATACAAATAGTAATATTAATAGTGAAGGTGAAGGTAGCCTATTACTAAAAACTGGAATTTCAACACCATCTAGTGGTATCAATGCTGGTCAACAAATTAAAGGTCTGTTAATTAAGCGAATTCGTACCTCAATTAAAGATTGGAAGTCTCTCTTTTTAACACTCATTATTCCATTGGTATGCATTATTTGCTCCATTGTTATATTTGTATCTATGGATAGTGCACAAACCTATTATAATGATGTTACAACACCATTAACAATGTCTTTAGCTTCTTTTGGAGCAAATGATGTCGTCCCGATACAGACTATAAGTCAAGAAGATTTTGACACTCTCAACCAAAGTCCCTTCTTTAATCAATTTAAATATGTTAACCAATCAGCTAATTTTAAAAACTATTTAATTGAAAATAATTTAATTAGTGCTGGTGCAATAAATGTTACAACCCAATTAGCCCAAAATAATAGTGTCGTTGGATACAATTCATTCTATAATATAAAATACCTTCACTCAATACCAATTCATATTAATTTGATTAATAGTGCATTATTAGAACACTCAACCGATATTAGGATTCAAATTACAAGTATGCCATTCAAGCATGTCCTTAGTATGTTTGATTTATCGACTGAAGGTCTTAATATTTCATCTATTCTTTATTTCAATATCATAATGTTGGCTGGGTTAGCTCTAATGGTGGGGTCTTTTGCCGGTAGTATATCTCAAGAACGTACCAATCGTGTTAAAAGACTATTATACATCTCTGGTTGCAAAAAATATGTCTATTGGTTATCAAATCTCATTTGGGACTATATATTTTCTTTTATTATAATACTTGCTACATCAATTATTTTAGCTATTGCCAAAGAAGAGTTTAGAGAACAATTTGGTATCTTTTTCTTGTCTTTAATTTTATATTGTGTAGCAACAATTCCTCTTTGCTATCTTTTATCATATCTTTTTAATACCCATGGTAAGGCAACAGGGGCTATTGCTGCAATTCTTTTCGCAAAGGCTATTGTTTTAATGATCACCTCATTAAATATTCGAGGTCAAGTTTTAGTTAATTTAAATGAAGGTACTCAAACTGCTGCTGATATTTGTGATATTATATTTTCACTTGTCTCACCATTATATGCATATAGTAGAATTCTTGCACTAGTCAGCAAATTCCCAGGTACCACTCGTTTAGGATCTTGGAAAATAGATAACTATTGGTCTTTAGATTATGGTGGCACCCCAATTATAATCCTCATTTTTCATTGTATTGTTTGGACATCTTGGATTCTACTTTTAGACTACTCCCCTGAAATCAAGGGTTTCTTTAAGAATCCCAAAAACTTAAAATCACCCCCACCACCAGTTTATGAAGACTCTGACGTTAGTAATGAAAGATCAAGAATCCATACAGTTTCTGATGAAATTGTTAAAGTTGACTCACTACACAAATTATTCAAAGGTAAGGGAAAGAATGGTGATAAAATTGCAGTTCATAACACTTGTTTAGGTATTCCTCGTGGCCAAACATTTGGTTTACTTGGTTTAAATGGTGCTGGTAAGACCTCTACCCTCTCGATGCTATGTGGTGATATCATTCCAACCTCTGGTCAAGTTTCAATCAATGGTCATGATCTAATTAGCGATCGTTCAAAAGCTTTACAAAATATTTCAATGTGTCCTCAATTCGATGCTCTTGTAGGTTTATTATCAGCCCGAGAACAACTTTACCTATATTGTAGAATTAAAGGTGTTGCAGAAAATAATATTGAAAATGTTGTAGAATCTTTCATTAATATGATGGATATGAGTCGTATTGCAAATAGTAGCTCTGGTGGCTATTCTGGAGGTAATAAAAGAAAACTTTCATTATCAATTGCAATGTTGGGTGATCCATCGGTCGTTTTCTTGGATGAAGCAAGGTAAGCAAAAATATAAAGTACTACTAAATCATCTTTATAGGCATTTAATAACATATAATTTTTTTTTATACAGTACTGGTTGCGATGCTGTTGTACGTCGTTATATATGGAATGTTATTAGCGAATTAAGTAAAGGGCGTTCAATTATTATTACAACTCACTCAATGGAAGAATGCCAAGGTATTATTAAATATTTTTTTATTTTTTTAAATTGTGCACAAAAATATTTTGATACTAATTAGACCTTTTAAAATAGCACTTTGTTCAAGAATAACGATCATGAAAGATGGCAAATTTACATGTTTGGGATCAATTCAACATGTAAAAAATAAATTTGGTGCAGGTTATTCTTTTGATGTCAAATTTAAGAGAGAATATTTTGAAAATGGTGTTGAAACAGTTTTACATAATTTCCCCAATGCTCGTCTTTTAGATCAACACGATTTAATCGCATCATTCGAGTTACCAAATGAAGCCTCAAACCCTGTTAAAGTTTCTAGAATATTTAATACTCTTCAAAACGATTTAGGATCAATTTTAGATGACTATTCAGTTTCACAAACCTCTTTAGAACAAGTCTTCTTGAAATTAACAGGTGCAAGCTATGATGATAGATTGAATCAAAATGCTCAGAATCATGATCAATGATAATAATAACTATAATAAAATAATAAATTAAATAAAACATAATTTAGAAGCCAATAAATAACAATCTTTTTTTATTGGGATGGGTAGCTTTCTATTCTTTTTTTACAGAACCAATTACAATTATATAATTAGATATCCATTAAAAAAAAATTTGTTTTTTATTTTATTCTTCCTATATAGGAGTGATTATTTATTTTATTGTTTTTAATTTTTTTGTTTTTCTTTTTTCTTTTTGTTCTTCTAATTCTTGTTCTTGTTCTTGTATTATTAACTCTCTTAGATAATCACGATAATTGGATTGACAATGAGGACAACTGGCACACCCATTGGTTCTTTTATAATCCATAGTGTCATACAACCATTTTTCAAATTCTTCTTCATCATTGAATCTTTCCATTATTACTTTTATTGATTCTATATCTTTATATGTTTTTGTCATTTGTTTTTGTTTGGTTTTAAAAATAATGAATAATTTTTTTTTAAAAAAAGATTACAAATACAGTTTTATTTTTTATTTATTTTTAATTTTTTTATAATACAATTTAATTAAATACATAAGTTATATCATAGAGTTTTTTCTCTTTTTCCAGGTCGCTAGGTGTGAGTTGTTTTATTTCCCGACCTACAATTGTGCATTGATAAAGACTGGTACCTTCTTTGGGATATGTATTTCTAAGTATGTCATCCACATATTCAGAACCTGTTATTTTTTCTTGGTTAATAAACACTGCGCATAAACCCGCCTCGTAAAGTTGTGAATGTTCTTTATAATATTTTACCCAGAATTTCATTACTATATAAACCAAAGTTCTTTCTTCCTTTTTTTTTGTTTATGATATTGAGTTGAATAATAAAAATGATTAAATTTTTTTTTTAATTAATCAAAAAATTAAAAAAAAATTATAATTTTTTTTGTTTTGTATTTTATTAATTATTTTGAAAAAAAATGTTTTACAAACGGCAAATTTTTCTGTAAAACATATGTATTTTTTTATCCTCTTCGGATAGTTTTACATTGGTCCCCTTATAAAACATACAATATAAACCATTCTCTCCTAATCTAGGTTCGGTAGTATTAATTAAATTTTCTATTCTTTGATATACCTTTTGGAGGTCAGCTATGTTTGTATTTTCAATATCTGTATTCATGTTTCTGTGTATTTGTGTGTTTTTTCAATTTTGATTAAATAAATAAAAATAAAAATAAAAATGAAAATATTTATACTCTTTTTATTTTACAAAAGTTTTTTTATTTTAAATTTTGGAGTTCTATGTATTCGTCAATTATATTATTGACTATGATACCTTGCTGTAAAACCTCTATATATTTTTCGGCAAAATCAAAATGTAACTCTTTGATTTCCATTTGTTTTTTATTAATAAAAATACTATTATCTGAACACATTTCCATCATATTTTAGTTTTTTAAATAGTAATGATTGAATTTAGTTTTTTTTTTAATTTATACTTTTTTTAAAAAAAAATTTTTCTTTTGCCATTTTTTTAAATTTTAAAATTATTTTTTATTATAAATTGTTTCCAGCATTTTAAATTATCTGAAGGTATTTGTCTTTGTATATAAATATAATAATTTCTAAAGTTTATATAACAATGCTAATAAAAATATATTTTAAAATGGTTCCACCACCCTTTCCACCACAAAGAGCAAGAAAACGAGGTGCCAGAATCAGACCTGGTGAGGAAATTCTCTATATAGATCCAGTATCGGCGGAAAATACAGTGGAAAGATTAACAGAAGGAAAAAAAAAAGTTGTTCATAAAAAACCACCACCAAGAAAAGCAAATAAAAGAAATTAAAAATGGAAGGAAATATGCCAAGAAATTATTACACCATTCAAAAAGATATTGATTTTGCCGAAAGTTTATTAAGATTCAATCATTTTTCTCTTGATCATATTTTTTCCGAGAGATTACAAGAAAAAAAGAAGGAAATTGAAATTTTAAAACTATACATAAACCAATTAAAAACAGAAATCAAGTCAAAACATCCAATGGAATGTCCAATATTCATTTCAAGTGAAAAAAAAAGTATCGAAAGTTCCGACAACGAAGATACGTTAGGAGGAATTTTCGAAGAATAAAAATAAAAAAAAATATTTTAAATAAACTCTTTCATTTTTTAAAAATATATACAATTTATTTTATTTATTATTATTTTAATTTACCACTCTAAAAAATTTTCAGAAAACTAAGTGGTTTAATTACAGTATTTTTTTAAATTAATGATGGTTCATAGTCATTTTTACCACCAGCACCTTCAGCACCTTCAGCACCAACACCATCAGCTTCAATATCAGCAGTAATCTCACCGAAACCAGCAGCAGCACCTTCGGCACCTTCGGCGGCAGCAGCAGCCCCAGCACCTTCAGCCCCAGCACCTCTAAAAAGATTGCCAAAAGCTTCCATCCCCTGTCCAAAATTATGGAACCAATCTCTTGTTTTTTGCCAATTACTAAGTCCTTTTGGTCCTTTTGGTGTTGGTGTTGGTGTTGGTGTTGGTTTTTCTTCTGGTTTTTCACATTCTTTATCAAAATCTTTTTCTTTAAGGAATGAGCCATCTTTGTAAGGAACACCATGAGGGAAAAAAGGTTCGGACATATTGTAAATATCTTTTTTTGAGCCTTTTGGTTTTTTGGTTATGTGAGGAGTTTCATGACCATTTACAATTTCATGTGGGTTCGCATGATCATAAATATCCATTTTTAGAAATGTGGCTAATATATCAAAAGGTAGACCATTTTTATCTAGAATTGCATTTTGTGATTTTTCATCGAAACCACCTTCTTTTTTACTATTAAGCATTGTAACAAAGAGATTGAGAAGTTTATTTTCGGCAAGTGTGGTTTGATAATTTTTTTTATCATTTGTTGGTTTAAACTTCATGTAGCACAAGATGGAATCGTGATTAAAGCCTTCTTTATCATGTGACTTGAATCTGTCATACATGTCGACTACTGATTTTCCTATGTAGGATACTAAAAATGGAAATTCTATTACGTTATTAGGATCACCTCCAATTTCATAAGAGGTAGGACTTGTTTCAAAATAAACATAAATGCTAGGTTGATTACATTTTTTTGGAAGACCTTTTTTGGTACTATCTAATAATAGTAAATCTTTTTTGATAATTATTTTTAATTTATTTTTAAATTATTTTTAATTTATTTTTAATTTATTTTTAATTTATTTTTAATTTATTTTTAATTTATTTTTAATTTATTTTTTTATTTTATTTATTAAAAAAATTTTCACACAAAAAAAAAATTTCATATTAATTAAAAATTTTGTTTTTACATACTGCCATAAAATGTGTCCTCATAAGAAATATAATATTGAAGACTGCAAAAAAGAGTTCCAATTGAAATATTTCAAAGATTTTTGTCGTGACCTGGAAGATTTCCCCGATATTGGAAAGAAATGTACTGAAGATTGTAAAAATAAAATGGGAGAAATAGTAAAGATCACATTGGAAAAATATTCAAATATTGTTGTTAATTATTTCAAAGATGCAAAGTTGGGAAAAGATGGTACTTTATCTAAATATCTTTTGTATATTTTATTACCAGATGATGAGGATGAAGAAGGAATCGAAGAGAACTTTAACGTTAAAATTGTTGATGAAAAAATGACTCATCCAGAAGATCCAGATCGTGACAAGGAAGAAAATTAAATAAAATTATCATTCTACCAAAGTTAAAAAAGTTTATTATCTAAATAAAAAAAGAATATTTTTTATAATTTATTTTCTTCTGATATACACATAAGTACAAAACACCAGACAGAGAATCACCAGTTCACGATATTGACTTTGCAATAAAGGCACTCTCGGAAATGAACATCACATGGCCAGGAGTGTCGGAACATTCAGCTTCCGTTTTGCACAAACATTGCCAGGAATGTTCGAAAAAAAATATATTCAAAAAAAATTATTATCCCTACAGCAATTTCATTCAAACTTATAAAATAAACCAATAAAAAATATCTCAAAACCAAAAAATGTATAAAATAAACTATTAAGATGTTTGAAAATATAAAAACTATTTTTTTTTCTTTTATTTCTGTATCAATTTCTTTGTTGTATTATAACAGTAATAATATTATCTCTTTCATTACCCGTATTTTCGGTGAAGCAGTAATAGATACCAAGAAGAGGTAATTTTGCACGAATCACATAATAAACTCACTATTGGTAATAATAATAATAATTTAATTTTAGAATGTAACACTGAAATTTGTAAATAAATATTATTCGAATTTTTGATTATTATTTTTTTAAGTTAGTTTTTTTTTTAAAAAGGGAAAAAATAAATATTTATAGCAAATGCCTTAAAATATCAGCAAGTTTTATTATAATGTTTTTCTAATTAGTAGTTTTATTTATATGATGTCATTTAGGTTTTTAGTATGTTTTTTATAGTTGTATGGGTTTAAAAATGCCATATATTAGTTGGTTGAAAAATTTATTCTCACTTTTGTGAAAAAAAAAAAATTTTAAAAATATAAAAAAAAATTAAAAAATTTCATTTCATTTTTTTTTTATTTTTCATAATTAATCAAAAAAATTTATTTTAATAATAATGAAAGAAGAACAAAGAGATTTATATTCACTTATTATAAATCAATTGGTATATGATGGGTTTTTAAACGAAGCTATAAAGATTAGTGAATCAACAATGATTCCATGTCCGTTAAAAAACGAAGCAACTAATAAATTATTATCAATCTATCAATCAGCTACATCGACACCAGGTGGAAGATCAAACTTTACCTCAATGGACCTAGATGAAGATGCAGGTTCACAAGTTGGTAGTGGAGGCAGTGGTGGTATAAATGGACAGGGTGGCTCAGCATCAAATATTTCAAATAGTGGTAAAAACTTAATTGACGATATAATAAACTCAAAAGATTCATTAGATTTAGATGACCTGAATCAACAAAACTCAAGCGAATCATCAAATAAAGTTCAACCAACTGTATCATTTTTAACCAAATTTATTACAACTCATAAAAATGCATGTAGATGCGCTAAATTTAGTTGGGATGGTAAATATGTCGCTACAGGTTCATCAGATACCTCAATCAAACTATTAGATGTAAATAAAATGAGAAATTATAATCAAACAAAGAATGAAACTACTGAAGATTCAGCACCATCAAGACCTGTAATTAGAACATTTTATGATCATACACAGCCAATCAATGATTTAGACTTTCATCCATCAGCACCAATTCTTTCATCTGCCTCAAAAGATGGTACCATTAGATTTTATGATTACAAATCATCCCTCAAACGTTCATTCAAGTATATTCAAGATAGTCACAGTATTAGAACAATTAACTTTCATCCATGTGGAGATATGATTTTAGCAGGTACTGACCACAATATGATTCGTCTCTATAATGTGAACACATTCCAATCATTTACAGCTAGAAAAGTTAATGAACACCATCATGCTGCAATTAATCAAGTTAGATTCTCATTAGATGGTGGTATATTTGCAAGTTGCTCCAAAGATAATACAATCAAAATATGGGATGCTAACAATTTCCAATTGATCAATACATTTAATGCACCACATTCAAATAAAGAACCAACAACTGTACAAATTTCACGTAATCAAAAATATCTTTTATCGTGTGGTCGTGATTCAATGGTTAAACTTTGGGAAATTACCTCAGGTAGATTAATATATTCAATTAATACAGGTGTCAATCAGTCTGGTGGTCAAAATAAAAATAGAATTTCAGCAACCTTTAATTATACTGAAGACTTTATCATCACCAATGATGAACAACCATCAGTATGTGTAGTTTATAATTCAAGAACAAGAGAACAAGTCCAAAAATTATCTGGTCATAATAATACAGTACGTTATATAGCGGCATCACCTGTCGAAAATGCCTTAATGACATGCAGTCTCGATCATAGAGGAAGATTTTGGACTGAGGATACTTTAACATTACAACAACAATCATCATCTTTACCAACAACAACAATAACAACAAAAGAAGAATAAAAATAAAATAAAAAAATAAAATAAAATATAATAAAATAAAATTGTATAAAAAACAAAAACCTTTTTTTTTTTTTTTTTTTTTTTTTTTTTATAAACTAAAAATAAAATAAAAAACCTATATTTTTTTATTCTATTTATTTTAATTTATATTTATATTTATTAAATAAATAACATATAAAAAAAACTGAATATCTTATTTGATTTGATTCGATTTTTTTAATTAATTAAATTAACTAAAAAAAGAAAAAAAAAGAAATAAAATTTTATAATAAAATTAATAAATAAATAATTTAAAGATTAATTTTAATTAATATACTCCTTCATTTCGATTGTATCAGACAAATAGAAAGAGGGGGTATTTGGGAGACTTTGTGCACTATCTAATGGTGAACCTGAAATTGGACTAAGAGCTAAATTCGACATCTTTTCGAGTGTTGGGGTCGTACTAGTTTGATTTGGTGTATTTGAAATCGAGTTATTACCATTGCTTTGTTGGCTGTGTTGAAGTTGTTGGAGTTGTTGTTGTTCTGATTTATAACAAACTTGACATAAAATAAAGACAGTTGGTCTTTGAATTTTTTGTTTTTTTGTTGGGAATTGTTGTTGGAGGTGTGGGATTTGTTGATTATAGAGATGTGAAGTTTCTAAAAGAGCTGGTGATGATGATGAAGATGATGCTGAAATTGGTGTTGGTCCGCTACCATTACCATTGCCGCTACTACTACTGCTATTACTGCCTATACTACCATTACTACTATTTAGATCGTCTAAGAGGTGACTGTTATTTGGGTTTAATAGTAATGATTTTTGATGTTGTTGATGTAATTGCTGTTGTTGCTCGGCGGTTGGGATTTGATTGGGTTTTAATTCAATGTATTCGGCTTTATCTAAAATTTTAACATCATTTGGGAGACATGTGATACAAAAAGAAGAAGGACAACCCTTGCAAATAAAGAAACTGCCACCTGATTCATTTGGTGTTTTTCTACATTGTTGGCATGCATGTCTTGAACATTTCCAACTACGTGGTGTGTGTGATAAACCAGCACATGAACGATGATAAATTTTTGGACATGATCTACATTGTACCATGGATGTACGGCCTTTAGAATCTTCCTCTTTTTTGCATGAAAAACAATTTCTATCCAAAAGAGTTCTATGCTTCTTTGGTGATCTATTCTTCTTTTTATCATCTACGTTCTTTAGCGAATTAACAGAGTCTTGTTGAGGTGATTGTTGATCGGCGATGAGAGAAAAGTTCTTTACAACACCATTGACACTATTAGACTTCCAAAGGCTTTGTGGACCATCAAATGATGTAGATTTAGAGTTTAAAATAGACATCGATTGGATCAAGCTATTAGCTTTGGTTTGGAATTGACTGAAAAGCAAAGGACTATTACTGCCACTACTTGTTGATGGCGAGGTGGGCGATCCAGATGGTGATTGGTTGATTGTACTACTAATATTCTTTTTATAATTTGACATTTTAACAATACAAAACTTCATCATTTCAACCATTTCATCCTTTTTAGTTTTCTCTAATAAAATTTTCTCTGCTTGTGAACTTTCCATTATTTGTTGTGATGCAACATTATTAATATTGTTAAAGTCGATCTTTTGATTTCTAATATATAACCATTCTTCTACTGTACCGGCGGTTAATAATCTAAACTTTCTTGTTACAGTTCCTAATGATTCTACTTTTAATTTGAATGAAAGCGAATTGTTAACATTTAATTCTCTAGAAATCTCTAAATTCCAATAGTTTTCAAATTCGACAATGTTCACAATAAATTGATTAAAGATTGAAGAGTTTAAAAATGATGATGAGGTCGATGATGTTGATGCTGGTGATGATAGCGGTGATGCTGGTGAAATGGGTGATGCTGGTGATTGTGGTGATGCTGGTGAAATAGGAGATCTTGGAGTTGATGGTGATAAATCTTGATGCTGGTTACTATGTTGTGATGATTTATTTGATGATTCAAAATTAATAAAATCATTATAATTCGAAACTATAATAATTGGTAATTTTGATTTTATTAAACTCTTTTCATTGACTTGATCAATTTTTAAATAATTTAATGATCTATAATAAAATTTTTAGTTAATATATTGATTTTTTTTTAAATATATAAAAATTTTAAAAATTAAAAAAAAATACACACTTTTGTTTTAAAAATTCTTCTAATAAAACTAAATATTGTTGTGAACTTGTTAATAAAAATAAAACCTGTGGTTGCTTTTCTTGTTGTTTTGAGATTTTTTCAAGTAAATAGGAAGTTGCTAAAAATTTTGAAGAGTGTTTAATTGTATCGCTGTTGTTAGAATTTGAAAGAAGATTTACATGATTGCAACATTTTTCTAGTTTAAGATAAAGTTCATGTAAAAATTTAGTTTGATCTACTTGTGGTGAATTCATCTTTGGAATGTTTTCTTTTAAAAGTGATCTATATAAAGTTTCTTGACTTTCGGAAATTTGAAGGAATAAATCAACCTTGCCACTATTTGTATTTGATGCTGTAAGGCTGTTACCACTATTGTTATTATTGCAATTGTTATCAAAAGCAGTATTAACTTGATTTTCGATTTGTTTTTCATATGTTAAAACATTTTCAAAATTACCTATAAATAATTCATTACTTGGTGGTTCACATACTGATCTTTTTCTGGTTTGAAGTGGTGGTGTTGAGGATGAAGATGATACGGTTGGTGAATTTGATGATGAGTTATTTGTCGTGGTAGTTGTTGTTGTTGTATTATTACCTGAAGTATTGTTATTTGGTGTATTACTATTATTGGATGAGGTTTGTGTTTTTTGTGATGGTGATGGTGATGGTGATGGTGAATCATCTAAACTATTATTATTTGATTGGTATGGTGATAATGGTTGTTGATTCATCGATAAATATTGTTGAGATGGTGATTGTGGTTGCATATTTAGACGTTGGTGGTCAACATAATAGTATTGGTATTGTGGTTGGTGTGGTGGAGATAATGATTGAAAAACAATCGAGTTTTGTTGTTGTTGTTGTGATGATTGTTGGGTTTGGTAATGTTGTTGTGGTGATCCATAATATAACATTGGTAATTGCTGGGGAGGTGATTGTGGAGCCCCAATAGTACTCATGTGAGGAGAATCTTCCGAACCACTATAATTTGTTGATGGACTAGCTAAATATTCACTTATACTATCTTCTGGAGAAAATGGTTGTTGTTGTTGTTGTTGATATTGCTGTTGCTGTTGGACATTTTGGTAATGTTGTTGAAGTAAAATTTGTTGTTGGAGTTGGTGTTGATGTTGTTGTTGCATATGATGGATATGGTGTTGTTGTTGTTGTTGCTGTTGTTGGTATTGTTGTTGATGATGGTAACTATTAATATCATCAGATGTTGCGTACATCTGAGGCGATAGATTATTACTATCAAATTGACTATTATATATTATTTGTTGCTCCATTCGATAGTATTTTATTTTATAAAATTACACATATATATTTATATTATATATTATTCTTTTTTTTTTTGATTTTTTTTATTAAAAATTATTATTATTATACTATTATTTTTTAATTATCACCGTCTGCAATTTCTATTTTTCTGATTATTTTTTTTTATATATATTTTTTAAAAAAAAATAAGAATAATAAGTTAAAAAAAAAAAAAAAAAGAATTACTTTTTGACAAATGTAAAAACACTGTTTGATTTGTATCGGTTATTTTTTTTTTTTTTAAAATTTTTTTTTTTTTTAGTTTTTTTTTTTTTATTTGGTTTCTGTTTATGATTTTACTATTAAAACTATTTTACTATTATTATTGTAAGATTTTCTTATACTGTTATACTATTGCTATTGCTATTACTATTATACTATACTAAAATTTATTTTTATTTAAAAATACAAAGATAAAAAAACTCTCCTCTATCGAGATCCAAAAACTATTAGTTCCTTCAGTAGTAGTAGTTTTATAAGAAAAAGAACCCTAATATTGGACAAAAATAATGAGGAGATTTAAAACAAGATATATATAAAAAAAAAGTAAAAAAAAAAAAAAAAAGAAAGAAAAAAAAATATTTAAAAAAAAAAAATTTATTTCTCCTTCTTCCTTTGATTTATTCTATTATTTTACTCCCCTATGTATATATCTTTTTTAACTAATATTACAATTTATTGTTGATTTATTATTACAGAAATTAAAAGAAACAAGATAAAAAAAAAAAGAAAACAAAATAAAAATAACTATTTATCTATTTATATTATTATTAAAAAACACAAATATAATAATAAAATTATTAAGAAAAAAAAATTTTAGATGGAACTAATAATACAATTTGAAAAAATAAAAATAAAAATTTAAAAATTAAATGATAAAAATAATATTAACACAAAAAAAAAAAAACTAATCAAAACGTGATTAATGTACCTATGCAGTATATGTGATGTATATAAATAAATTTAAAAAAAGGTGATTATTATCTATAACTACTAAAATAATAATACAATGGGGTGGTTTTTAAATTAAAAATAAATTATTTTGTTTCTTTTTTTTTTTTTTTGAAATGGGGAGCGGGGGGTTATATTATTGTGTGTTTTAAAATTACTACTACTACTACTAATATTACTACTACTACTACTATAAATTATAAAATTGAATAATTTTTATTATTTTGTTTTATAATGTATTATTACTGTTGAAAAAAATAAAACAATGTTTATTTATTTTTTTGTATAAAAATTTTTAAATTTGAAATTTTATGAAAAAATGATTATGTGTAAAAAAAAAATAAAATAAAATAAAAAGTATAAAAGAACTATTTAATTCCAATTTAGTTTATCGATATTATTATTGGTTTATTATAGTACTGATATTGGTATTTTGAAATTGTGTTTATAATAAAATATTTATTATTAATATTGTGTTTATATGATTTATTATTTTAGACGAAAAATTAAATTATATAAAATAATATGGGAGTGATTGAGAATTATAATAACAATACAAAAATAAGTGTTTTATTTGAATTTATGTGTGTTGTTTGTGTATATATATATATTTATTTAATATTTATATTTATATTTTAAAATCTATATTTATCTATAAAATTTTTTGATGTGATGAAAGGAAAAAAAAAATAAATGTAAAATTAATTTAAAAAACAATAAAATGGAGAAAAATAAAATAAAATAAAAGAATTAACAGGTCTCTTTAAGTGTGTGATTTAAGATGTTGTTGCGTTTTGTGTGTGATGTATGTGTAATGTTTTTAAAAAAAAGAAAAAAAATAAAAAAATTTTTATTTTTTTTATTTTTTATTTTATTTTTTTTTTTTTTTAAAAAAAATTATTTTTTTGATATTTTTTTGATTGAACAATCCAACACTTTGTGAATTCTGCCCCCTATTTTTTTTATTTTTTTTTAGTTCTGGAAAATGTCAACTTTGTTGATTTATTATCTCACAAAAGGATTTAAAAAAAAAATGATTAGACACCCAAAAGTTGTCATCACAACCATAACTACTTTTTTTAATTTTATTTTTTTATTTTTATTTTTTATATTAATTTATTTTATTTTATTTTTGAGCAGTATTATATATTTTAAATTTAAAATTGTTTTTTAGAGTAGTTTACCAAAAACAAAAGATAAAACTGCTATTAAAAGCATAATAATTATAGTTTGAGTTTTAAATGGTGACTCTGTTTTAATCATTTCAATTTGCTAATACAAAAAAAAAAAAAAATTAATATTTAATTTTAAAAAATTGAATTAATAATAAAATGAATTTTTGAACTTACTTCATTTAAAGTTTTAACTTGGGTACGTAATTGTTCGTTTTCGGTTGTTGGTGATGATGGTGATGAGGTTGTTGCAGATGATGATAAATTTGTTCTTTTTTGGACTGTTGGTTTAATAACTGCAGAATCGTTTTTGGTTGTTGGTTCATAAATATTTGATGTGTCGCTATTGGTATTTTTATTATTATTACTATTATTATCTTTATTTGTATTATCATTATTTTCTATAGTATCATCGGGATTATTTTTATTATCTTTTGGTTTTGTGACACTAATATTTGGAACATCTAAATCGATTTGATGTTTTTGAACTTCTGAAAGAATTGTGCTATTTGATTTAAATTCAGATGGTATTGGTGATGCTGATGGTGATTCTTGTTCGTTTGGTAATTGGAAAACTGCTTTTAATTTATGCTTCATGATTTGTGTTTGTGGTGAATTTTGCCACTATAGTAAAATAATTATAAAAAAGGTTAATATCCAATAAATATTATTTGTCTGTATACTACAATAATTAATTAACCTACAATCGATTTTGGATCAATATTTGGGTCGGTTACAATAATTGATTGAATTTGGAATTTGTCTTTTGTTTTCATTGAAATTGATGGTGCATCTTTGGTGCAATTTAATAAAACTAAAATAATAAAAACGAACGAACAAATTATAAAAATAGAAAATAATTATTTTAGTAACTATTTATATTGTCATAACTATTATTATTTTTTATTATTATTAATATTGTATGATTTAAATTATTTATTTTTAAATACTTACTTTGGACATCAATTGATTTTCCTGGTGGGATAATTCCAGTATTTGGTCTTACGCAATATCTAATTGGTGCAGTAGTTTTAACCTTAAAAGCTAATGTATGTTCTTCGCTAATATTTGATAATTTAATTTCGTTTGTAATAACACCCATAAATGGAGCTAAAAATATTAAATGACAGTTAATATACATTTCTATTGTATAATTTAAATTATTATTGATTATATAAAAAACCTGTAACCTTTTCCTATTTATTAGGTTATTTTTTTTTTTTGTTTTTTACATACGATGGTAAACTAATTTTGAAGGTCGAATTTTTAAAAATGTTTTGGAATAAGTTGGGCTTGCAGTTAGATTGTGAGAACTCATTTTTTGATTTTATAAACTGTAAGATTCTATAGGGTTTGGTTGGTACTATAGTTATTTTAATTGAAATTATAATATAGTTGTAAAAAAATGTACAGTGGTTGTAACCCTTTTTAGAATTGTGATTTTTATAAAAATTATTGTGAAAAAAATAAATAATAAAAAAATAAAATAAAAAAAATAAAAAAATTTTTTATTTTTTGAAAATAATTTAAAAAATTTTTAAAAAATAAATTAAAAATTTTTAAAAAAAAAATTCATATAAATAAGTTTATATTTTACCTGTTTTAAATAATTTAATAATATGAAAAGATAATATCTATAAAAAATACATAATTAATATAAATTAATATCAAACACTTTTTTTAATTTTAAATTTTTATTTTTATTTTTTATTCATCATTATTTATTTTTTATTTTTTTTTATTTTTTATTTTTTTTTATTTTTATTTTTTAAATAGATACAAAGAAATCAAATTGTTTTAAAATATATATATTTCAACATTTATTTCTTTTTATTAGAAAACAATCAAAATAGTAACATATAGAATTGTATCGTTAAAAAAAAAAAAGATCACAATTCATCTTGGCTGTTATAAATAAATAAAAACAACCCCATATAACCAAGAGTTTACGCGCTTTAAACTTCATCTTTAAATATTTTTTTTTTTTTTAAATTTTTTTTTTTTATTTTTTATTTAATTATTTACAGCCAAATTTTTTTTATTTTTTATTTAAACAAATAACAACAATAACAAATTAAAGTAACTTAAGATAATAATAACTATATATTAATTATTTTTTTTACAATCTAAAGAAAAAAAACTATATACTTAACCCATTCATAAATTAACAACATATAAAAATGTCACAAGATCATTCAGTTTCAAAAAGACTTCAAAGCGAATTAATGAATTTAATGGTAGGTATTTCTTATGCATTACTTTTATATATTTTTTAACTCATTTAAACTAATTAGGAAATAAATAAAATTTTTTCTAAAGATGGGACCATCACCAGGTATTTCCGCATTCCCAGATGGTGATAATATTTTTAATTGGGTTGGCACTATTCAAGGAGCAGAAGGTACAGTTTATGATCAATTAGAATTTAAAATGTCATTAAAATTCCCAACTGACTATCCATACAAGCCACCAACTGTTAAATTTGAAACTCAATGTTTCCACCCAAATGTAGATACTAATGGTAATATTTGTCTTGATATTCTTAAAGACAAATGGTCACCAGTTTATAATGTTAGAACTCTTTTACTTTCAATTCAAAGTCTCTTAGCCGAGCCAAATAATGAAAGCCCATTAAACAGTTATGCTGCCTCTATTTGGTCCAACCAAGACGAATATAAAAAAGTTTTACTAAAAAAATATCAAGAGGCAACAGGAATAACCATTAATTAAACTACATAACAATAATAATTTATTATTTTTATTAAATAAATAAACAAATAATAATAATAATAAAAATAATAATAATAATAATACTAATACTAATACTAATACTAATAATAAAAAATCATATAATAATAATAACAATAATAATAATAATATTTTATAAATAATAGATCTCCTCTAATAACACCAAAACATAATCATCATACCACTCCACAATACCATCCATATTATCACCAATATAATAGTAATTAAATAATCACCCCCATTTTTAATAATTTTTATATATTAATTATTTTTTATTTTGTATTGATTAAATTAAATACAAAAAATTTTAAAAACACCCAAATAATAATAACATTAATAATAATAATAATAATATAATAATAATAATAATAATAAAAATAATAATTTATTTTATATATTACAATTAAAATTGAATATCAAAATTTCTACCCCTATACTAGTGTGTATTTGAAAAATAATTTAAAAAATAAAAAATTTTAAAACATATTTTTATTTATTTCTTTATTTTATTTATTTGCTTTGTTTTGTTTTGTTTTGTCTTGTTTTTTTTTTTGTTTATAAATCTAATTTTATTTTAAACACACACAATTAAAACCAAACACACATTAAAAAAATAATTATTATTCAAGAATATTAATTATTTTTTTAGAATAAGACATGATAATAAAAATAACAATATTTGACAAAAGTTAAAAAGAACAAAAAATAAATAAATAAAATTAATAAAAAAAAACTTAAAAAAAAGAAAAAACCAATTTATCTTAAATAGTTGTTGCAACATTTTAAATAATTTTTTTTTTTTCACTCAAAAAATTATCATTTTATTTTAAAAAAAAAGGTTGTGGCGTTTGCTTAGATATTATTTTTTTTTTTATATTTATTTTTTTTTAATTTTTTTTTAACTTTTTTTTTTTTTTTATTTTTTTTATTTTATTTTTTACACAGGATAATAACAGTGATCATTTTTTTTTTAATAGCAATAAAATTTATAAATAATATTATCAAAAAGTAATATTAAAAATAATAGCAATATAACATAATAGCCAAAATAGTAATATTTAAAAATAGCAAAACAAACATCTTTTAAAAGAAATCAAGTGTGTGTTTTTTTTTTTATTTTATTTTTACATTGTTTTTTTTTTAAAATAAAAAAGTTTGTTTTTTAAATTTAAATTTAATTTAATTGTGTGCATGTGTGTGTGATTTTTATTTTTATTATTATATTATTATGAATACAGTTACAGAAAGAAATAATAACGAATTAAATAGTAATACTAGTAATGATAATAATGTAAATAAAATATCAAATAGTAATAATAACAACAACAACAACAACCAAGATTCATTATCACAAATTGATCAGCATCAACAAGATAAATTTAAATTAAAACAACAAAAACTTAAAGAAAGAGAAAATTATTTAGAGGATATTTTGGGTAAACAAATTTCGGATTTTGAAGAAGAGATGGCAGAGCAAATTAAAAAGATAAATAGTGATCCTCAAAATCATCATGATGACGCCCACCATAACCCAGTTCAAGAGGAGCACGATAGAATTGAACATGAAATTAATGAAATAAAGGGTGTTTACAATAAAAGAAATATGGAATTTCATAAAGATTTAAGATTTGAAGGTCAAACTAGAATGAGAGAAGGTTCAATTTTAAATTTAGAGGTAACTATAAAATCTATAACTTTATATATCTATTTTTATAATATAAATATTAATAATTACATTTTAGAAACAAGGACTTGTAAAAGTAATTAGTCAAAGATTTCAAACACCAGATACAGCATCTTATACTAGACCAGCAATTTCAAATAGTTCAATTAAAGATAAGATTTTAAATATGAAAAAAGAACAAGAAAGAAAGAAATTGGAAATGGAAACTCAGCAGAGAGAAAAAGTTATTATATTATCAGAGGATTCATCTTCTCTTCAAGTATACCATCCATCAGTTTTAATCGATAGAATGAATAGCAAACCAGGTGATAAATTAGAAACAGATAATAATAATTTAGCAACAACATCCACAGATAATTCAGCCTCTGCTAATAATGGTAATAATATTACATCAGTAAAACCAAATACAGCAGCAGCACCAATATTAGTAAATTCACCAATTAAACTATCACCTTCAGCTTTGTCTACTCCATCAACATTATCATCTATGCCATTATCACCAATAGTCGCCAATAATCCAACTAAAAATAATAATAATAGTGGTAGTCCATCAAATAACCCATATATAACAACAAATACTATATCAAAAGATAACAAAGATAAAATAAAAAAGGACAGCAAGGAAAAAAATAAAGAAAAAGAGAAAATCAAAAGTAAAGAAAAAGAAAAGGAAAAAGAAAAGAAACAACAGGTCAAGAATGTTAAACAAACCAATAAAGATTTTAAAAAAAATTCATCAGATAGCATACCAAATATTAAACAAGCCTCATCATCACCATCGTCATCATCATCATCTAAAAAAGAGAAAAGATCAACCACTGCAGCATCATCACCATTATCACCATTACAGGCTCCACCAAATGAACTCATTAGAAAGCGTAGAGGCAGAACATTAATTACTCCATCCGTCGATGCAAAGAAAAATCTTCAAATTTATTTCACAATTCCAGAAAAACCAATCCAAAAAGTTATACCAACCAAACCAATATTAAAACCATTTACATCGACATCACAACAATTTTTAAAGGATTTGGTTAAAGAATCAACTGATATTAAAGAAACAACAAGTAAAGTAGAGGGTTCAAGTTTATCACTTTCATTTGAAAGCGAAGGTTCTTCTTTGGCAATAAATAATAATGCTGAGGCATCTTTATTAAATGTTACATCTCTTAGGGTTAGGGCTTTAAAGACACCATTTAATATATTATTTATTTTACCAAATCAATCAAGAAAGACACTGTTAGTTAAAGGAACCGATACAATCGAAGTTTTAAAAGAAAGATTAGCATCAGAATATTTAGAATCATTTCCAAAATCAAATCGTTATGGATCAGATTCATATTTACTTTTAGATTTTAATAATACTCCACTAGAAAAAACCCTATCACTCAATAAATGTGAATATATTTTAGAAAAGAGATCAAAAGGTTTATTACCCAAATTAAAGATGATCGAGAAATCTGATATTTTGGAGGCCGATTCAAGAGAGGAACTTTCACCACAAGAATATGATATCATTCGTAAAATTATACCAAATACCAGTAATTTGAAGGGCGATGAAGTTGATTATTTTAGAAGGGTTACATCAAGACAAAGATACGAAGCATTACCACATATTAAAGGCTCCATTCAATCAACATTGTTACCACGTCTCTCCATTTTACCAATTCCAATTGTAGCTAATAAAATTTTAATTTCTGTATTTTTACCAATCACTCAAGTCACCAAAACATTAGATTTAGAACCAAACGAAACGGCAGATGCTTTTACAAACCGTATTTTCGTAAAGAATTACTCTAAACATTTACCAAATGTAAATGCATCAGATTTTATTTTAAAAGTTGTCGGTAGCTCAGAGTATATTCACGGTCCATATGATATTAGAACATTCGAGTGTATAAGAAATCACATTATCCAAAGTACCAAACCACAACTTACACTTATACAAAGACCAAAGAGTGAATTAGATCCACCTCCATTTAAACCCAGATTCGATTTCCCACCAGAACTTTCAATCGATTGTGAAGTTTCAGATTATCGTACAGATATTTGGGATCAATTAACTCATTTTTCAATTAGAGATATAAAGAGACCATTCTGTGTTAAAGTTTTAGGTTCATCAAAGATTCCAATGAATTGTGTTAAAGATGAAGATACAAGTATTATAGTTTCAATATCACTTTATCATGGTATCGATAATTTTTCAAAAGTCTTTACAAGACCACTCAATCCATCAACCCCATCATTATCATCAGACTCTTTAGCATTAGATTGGAACGAGCTTTTAGTTTTCAATAATATCGAATATTCAAATTTACCAATTGATGCAAGACTTTCAATTAGTATTTACTCTACAAACGATTCAGTAGATGAACAAGATATAAGGAACCACGATCAATCCACTAAAAAATTAACACCAATCGGTTGGGCTAATTTAATGATAAGCGATTTCAGACACCAATTAAGACAAGGTTTAGTTCAATTATCATTGTGGCCAAATGAATTTTCAAATCCATTAGGTACATGTTCAAATAATCCAAATCCAAATTCGGTCAATTTAATTTTAGAGTTTGAAGAGTTTGATTTACCAGTAATTTTCCCAAGAAATAAAAAGATACCAAATGTAGAACCACCAACTATCAATTCAAACGATATGAGGGACTTTTTCGAATCAATCACCAACTTGGATCCACTTTCAGATTTAAAGCCAGACAAATATTCACAACTTTGGGCTCTTAGACATTACGCAATGTTATTCCCATCAGTTTTACCAAGATTAATGTTAAGTGTACCTTGGATGCAAGCTGTAGCAGTCGATGAGGCATACAATCTATTAGAGAGATGGCCAAGATTAAAACCATATGAAGCTTTAGAATTATTAGATGCAAAGCATGCCAATAGAAAAGTTAGAGATTTTGCAGTTAGTTGCCTCGAAGAGTTAAGCGAAGATGAACTCTTGGATATCCTATTACAATTGGTTCAAGTATTAAAATATGAACCATTCCACGACACTAAACTTTCAAGATTCCTTTTAAGAAAAGCCATTTTACATCGTAGTATAGGTCATTCATTCTTTTGGTATTTGAAATCAGATTTACATGTATTAAATCTTTCAGAAAGATTTGGTATTCTTTTAGAAAGCTATTTATATGCATGCGGTGCACATAGAGTCGAATTACTCAAACAATTAGATGTAATCAATAATTTAACCGATGTAGCTAAAAAGATAAAACCTTTAAAAGATCAAGATAGAAAGGACTTTATGCTTAAAGAACTTGAATCGATAGATTGGCCAAAGAGATTCCACTTGACTTTAAATCCACGTTTAGAGTCCAATGGTTTAATCATTAATAAAAGCAAATATATGGATAGTAAGAAATTACCACTTCGTTTATCATTTACAAATACCGACATGAACGCCGACCCAATAGAGGTTATTTTTAAAGCTGGTGATGATTTAAGACAAGATATGTTAACTCTTCAAATGATTCGTCTTATGGATAAACTTTGGCAAAAAGAAGGTCTCGATTTAAAACTTTCACCATATGGTTGTATTTCTACAGGTGATATGATTGGTATGATCGAGGTGGTATTAAATGCAGAAACAACAGCAAAGATTCAAAAGAGTGCAGGTGGTGCCACAGCAGCATTTAAACTAGACCCACTTGCCAATTGGTTATTACAACACAATAAAACAGAAATCGAATATCAAAGAGCAGTCGATACATTCATCCTTTCTTGTGCTGGTTATTGTGTAGCTACTTATGTACTTGGTATCGGTGATAGACACAACGACAATCTTATGTGTACAAAATTAGGTAGATTATTCCATATCGATTTTGGTCATTTCCTTGGTAATTATAAAAAGAAATTTGGTTTCAAACGTGAATGTGCACCATTTGTATTCACCCCCGATTTTTGTTATGTAATGGGAGGCAAAGAGTCACCCAAGTTTGCACAATTTGTAAATTATTGTTGCACTGCTTATAATATCCTTAGAAAGAATGCAAAACTTTTTATGAATCTTTTTGCAATGATGGTATCCACAGGTATCCCAGAATTACAATCAATGGAAGATTTAAATTATCTCAAAGAATCTTTCTCTTTAGAATTATCTGACGATAAAGCTAGAGATAAATTTATAAATTTAATTCACGAAAGTTTATCAACTAAAAGAACACAATTAAATAATGCAATTCATATTGCTTTTCATCCATAAAAATATAACAATTATAATTTATAATTTATAATAATATAAATAATTTAAAAATAATATTTATTTAAAAAATTTAAAATATTTAATAATAAAAATAATATAAATAAACCATATCTTATTTATACAATAAAATTTATATATTTTTTGTTGTAAAAAAAAAAAGGTTTGTGGGTTTTAAAACAAAGTGAATAGGGCTTTTAAAAAAATTATAATTTTAAATATCCGTTACCCCATTTTTATTATTTCCATTTAAAATTATAAGAAATGATTCACATACCCAAAAATAATTATTTTTTTAAATATTCAAATGGTTTTCATATGAATGTAAAATTAAAAAAAAAAAAAAAAAAATTTTATTTTTTTTCATTTTTTTTATTTTTTTTTTTTTATTTTTTATTTTTATTTTTTTTTTTTTAAAAAATCTAAATTCAAAAACGAATAATATATATAGAGCTGAAACTTTTAATTAATAAATGTTAATATAATAATAATATGTATCAAGTCTGTAAAATATTAAAAAAAACCCAACCTCCACTCACAACATTTATTATACGTGGTTTTGTTTCATCATCAAACACATCGACAACTACAAAAACTACAGCAGCTCCAATTGACAAATCGAAAACCGAAAATAAATTCAAAGTGGAAAATAAAAAATATGACGATATTTTAAAAAGAGATTTGTTATTATTAAACAGTAAAGAAGACTCAATATTATCAGACAACAACATCCCATCTGCAAAACCATCAACATTTCAGCAAAACAATAAAAAACCATTTCATTTCGAAGATTCACTCTATCCATTAAAAGAGTCATTATCCACACAAAAATATAAAGATAAAATATCATTATTAAAATCATTATTGGACAATGAAGATATCGACGAGGCAGTTCAACTTTTCCACAAGTCTTTAAAGGTTAACCATGAAACATTTTCATTAATTCTTTTGAAATGTTTACAGAAGGATGTAGATATGGCCATTGGTTTCTTCAAGCTTTATTTAAATGACCAGTTTGTCGACTATTTAAACTCATCGCAATTTTTATATTTTTTAAGAAAACTTTATGAAAAGAGTCCCCAATCAATCACAGAAATCTACAATTTTTTATTAAAATCAAATTTAATCGATATTAGAATGAGCTTTATATTTTGTACTTTTTATTTAGAAACTGGTCAAGAAGATAAGGCAATTAAATTAATTAATGATAGTTTTAAAAAAAAAATAAAAAACTCTGAAGATGATATAGATGACTATTCACAATCACAATCACAAACACAACCACAGCCACAACAACAACCACAAAATAAACAAAACAAACAAAAACAACATCACATACAATCAATACAACCACAACAATCACAAGATGAAAAAAATATATATAATATAAAAAAATTAACAAATTTTTGGAATTTTAATTTAAATAATCAATTATATTTTTTAAATAAACCAGTAATACAGTATAATAACCAATCACCACAGTATTTGGATTTATTAGAATATTTTAACAAGTTATTTTCGGTATCCTCGAGATATTTAAAATTCTATGAATTAATTTCAGAACTCTTCCTCCCAAACGGTATTATCACTTCAAAGAGATTGGTGCCATCTTTAATTAAATATATGCAAGTTTGTCTAAAGTCCAAAAAACTTAATCAATTAAATAATATCATGGAACCATACAAAAAAAGTAATAGTGGTTTTGAATTAATTAAAGCTCAAGTTCTAGGTATGATATTGCACTATAGCTTTTATAGAGGTTTAGAGTCATTGGAGTCCTATATATTTTCCAATTTCGTTAACAGCTTAACACACAGCATTAGATTTAAAGAGGTACTATACAATACAGCTATTTTTTGTTCATTAGAGGTCGACGAATACGGTAAAGCTCTTCATTTTTCCGATTTAAAGAAAATTGCAATCAATAAAGCCATCGAAAAAGAAAGTGCGGTCAAATCACATATGGATTTCAAACATGATTTCTATTATCCCTTTATAGCTTATCATCATATCAATAGAAATGAAATGTCATTACAGTTTTGGATAGAAAAACAAAATGAAAAAGTCAAGCGCGAAGAACCTCATCCATCCTATCAATATAAAGAATATAATATAATTAACGAAACTGATAAGTTATTTAAATCAAAAGATAAATCAATCAATATTTATTTAGAAAATTTAAAGAATTCATATTTTAGATATTATTATAAACAATTAGAAGAATTAGTAGAAAAATATCCAACACAAAAAGCAGAGCAACAACAACAACAACAGCAATCATTATTAGAGTTAATAGATCAACAAAGAGAAAAAGAATTTGTCGAAGAGTTTAAAAATTATTTATTAAAAATTAATAAGGAATTGTTTTTAAATCAAAATGAAAATAATATATTTTATAACAAGTTACCCCATTCAGAATTATTCATTTCATCAATTCAAAGATTTAAAATATCATTCAAAGTTGATAGAGTCAAAAGGTACGAATACCTTCAATTTATTACACAGCTCTATGTTCCATTTCAAGTTTTCATTTCAAACAATAGCGATTGGTTTTCATATTTATCATCCAACGAAAAATCATTAACATTCATCAGTAACTCTTTACCCGACTCTCTCTTCAAATCAAATGATTTTTACAACTTTTGGTTACATAAAAATTCAAACTATAGCGTTCCGGAATATGGTGATTTGTTATGGAAGCAATTAAAGTTTATGGTTGATAATAATATCCCAATTTACAAGAAATCAATTAACGCATTCGTTTCACATTTATTTAAAATCGATCATACAATAACCCAAGAGCAATGGAAGATCATTAGAGATGTTCAAAATAAAAACCCATGGATTACAGGTTCATTCAATGATCTCAAGTTTAAATTAAGATTCTACCCAACAAATAGCTTTGATTATTTAGCAGAGAATAAACATAAATCCGATCTTAGAAAAGGATTGGATGTTTTAAAGAAAAGAGATTATTTAACACCAGAATTAGTTATTCTCTATGTAAATTTATCAAGTAAAACTACAAAATTTATAGCAGAATGGGACTTTTTATTTTCAAGAATTTCAAATTATAAAAACTATTACTCTGACGGTTTACATCAACAATACTTTGCTTGGGCAACTTGTAAAGTTTTAATTCGTAACAACAAACATGATTTGTTAAGAAAATATATAAAGAACTTTTCATTAGAAATCGTCAAATTGGATCTTAATATTATTTTAGATATAATTTCACCACTTTCACCAATTGAACAAGTTACCTTTATTCAATCTCATAATATTATCAATTATTCAAAGGAATCAGTTAGAAGCTATCCCTCATTTTTCGTAAATTTCATTAAAGAGTTAAAATCAAAATTATCAAACCCTGAAGATTTCCCAAAATTAGACTATATAATTTCAAAAGAGTCTCAGTTACCAGCAAATGAAAATAGAAAAAATTTTGAAAGTTTATTTACAAATTTATATTTAACTGAATAAATTAATTTCGCAAATAAAAAAAATAAAAAATAAAGTAATTAAAATACCGATATTTTATTGGTAATTAATTTTTTCAATAAATAAAACAAAAAATTTTATCTTTTTTTTTTATTTTTTTTTATTTTTTTTTATATTAATAATGTTAAATAAATCTTCATTTAAAATTAAAGTTATATATTTTTTTTTTTAAAAAAAATAGTTAAATAAAAAAAAAAGTGTGATTTGAAAATTATAGTTTTTTAGATTATTTAATATTTGTTTGTGGTTTTATTTCTTTTTTTTATTTTTTTTATTTTTTTTTTCGATTTAATTAAAATTAAAATTAAATTATATTTTTTTTTTTTTTTTTTTTTTTATTATTTTTATATCTTTCAAGAATATTCTTTAAAATTTTGGTTTTGTAGGAAAAAAATTTAAAATTTTTTTTGGAAAGAAAAAATTCCGGTTTCCGTTTAAATTTTAAATTAAAATTTTTTTTTTTTTTTTTTTTTTTTTTTTTTTTTTTTTTTTTAAATTAACTTTTTTTTTTTTTATAAATTTTTATAGAATTGTAAAAGTATAATAATAAAATAATATTAATATAGTGTAATAATAATAGAAAGAAATGAATCCAGATTTATTTAATAATTTAAATGAACATATATTTTGGAAGGTGTTTCACAATAAATTTCTTTTTAAAAAAATAATTTTTTCAATTGAGGATATAATAATAGATTATAAAGATTTATCACAATATTATTTAGGAAATAAAATTAAATTTAAACATATTTCAAATTTAAAATTTTTTAATAAAAATGATAATAAAGAATGGTCAATTTTAAAAGATAAATTAATATCAAATCAGTTTTTAAAGATAGATAAAGATTCGATTGTGGAGTTTATATACCATTGTAAAAATAGAGAAATTATTCAACTGTTTTTAGAAAAAAAGAAGGATTTTATTCCTATCGAATTAGACCTTGTTTCATTGTCTCTAGAAAATAGTAACATGGTGGCATTCCAAGTTTTTTTGGATCAAGGTTATCCTGCTTCAAGTAAATCTGTTGAAAGAGCTATTCATTTCGGAAACATCGATGCTTTAAATATACTTTTCAAACAAACAAGTGTTGGTAATCAAAAGTATTGGTTAAAACTTTTCAGAAATAAATATATTCAATTAGAAATGATAGAATTTTTCATCTCCAAAAATGAAACCTTACTCCATGACTATGGCCAGGCCTTAGATGATAAGGAAAAGTTAGATTTTACAAGTTTCTTCTCAATTAAATCTCTTAAAGTTAAATCTATACTGTTAGATTTCAATCTTGTAGAAAAAAATGAAGTTTCAAGTTTTTTCATCTATTTTATAAAAAATAGTAATTTTGGGTTAATTAAAACAGAGCAAGATTTATTGTTTTATATTAGAGCATTTTTCAAGTTAGCATGCAATTTAAGAGAAATTCCACTTCAAGCCCAATTAAAAATTGATGAAATTCAAGCAAATAAAAAAGATCAAGATTCAGTATACCAATTAACTTTAATTCTTTTAGAAGAAATTCAAAAAAAACTACATCCAAGTCAGTATTCAAA